TTTTTTTTTTTTAATGTTTATTTATTTTTGAGAGAGAGAGACAAAGTGTGAGTGGGGGAGGGGCAGAAAGAGAAGGAGACACAGAATCTGAAGCAGGCTCCAGGCTCAGAGCTGTCAGCACAGAGCCCGATGCAGGGCTCAAACTCATGAACCGTGAGATCATGACCTGAGCTGAAGTCGGACGCTTACCGACTGAGCCACCCAGGTGCCCCCCTTTTTTTTTTTAATGTAAAAGGTTTTTTTAAATGCTTATTTATTGTTGATAGAGAGACAGAGCACGAGTAGAGGAGGGGCAGAGAGAGAGGAAGGCACAGAATCTGAAGCAGGCTCCAGGCTCTGAGCTGTCAGCATAGAGCCCGATGTGGGGCTCGAACCCAGGAACTGTGAGATCATGACCTGAGACGAAGTTGGACATTCAACCGACTGAGCCACCCAAGCACCCCGAGTGTCCTGATTTCTAATACCCAAATAGGTTTTGTCTGTTTTCTAACTTTATGTAAGTGGAATCACACTTTGTAAACTCTCCTTTGAATCTGGCTTACTTTGCTCAATACTACGTATGTGAGGCTTGTCCAAATTGTGTGCAGTACTCTGTTTTTGAATTACCCCTAACTTTTCAGTTGTTATCTATCGGTCAGGGGATGGACTTCTTTGAAGAGTCTGGGCAAGCTGTCTTGCAGTATACTCTATGATCTGGACTTGCCTGATCATTTCTTCCAGATGAGACAGCTTAACCATTCTGGCAAGAATACAACAGAGGTGAAGTTGTACACCTCCTGTGGCATCCTATGACGAGGCACTTGGTGTCAGTGTGTCCTTTACTGGTGATGCTAAGCCAGACTGCTTGGTTAAGCAGCTGCCTGGCAGATCTCTCTGGCAGGAAGATACCTTCCATTTTGTAATTAACAGGTAATCTTTGGGAAGATACTTTGAGATCATGTAAATATGTTGATGGCCAACCAACTAATCATTCAGTGGTTTTAGTAACTCTGGATGATATTTGCTTCAAGTCAGTTATGTCATTGATGTTGAAATTCTTAGGAAACGCTCATAAAATCAAAACACTCTTAAATACGTTCACTTTTCCTAACACCCCAACAGATACAAAATAAACATGCAGGTTAGTCTCCCTTTGTCTCCTGAGTTCCACCTTCTGCCTTAACTACCCTAGTCTGTACCCTGGGAGGTTGACCTTGAACCCTGTACCACCCCAATTTGCTTGTAATTGCGTATCTGGTTGGGTGAGGCCCATGGGAGCATGTTACTGGCAAGACATCCAAGATCAGAGAGGGAAAAGGTGAGGTGCTCCAGCTCTTCTTGCTGGCGGTAGCAGCATCCATCACACCTGAGTCCCCACCTCATGCCGCTCCACGGGGCAGCTCTTAGTGTCCAGCAGCGGTGTTTCCTCCCGTTGGCCCTTCACCTTACGATGATAATAGATTCCTCCTCTTCCAGTCTGGGTGCTCTGGTAGTTCTTATTTATATACTTAACACTGTCCACATCTCTGTAAAGAGTCCTTTTATTAAAAATCTCTTTAGGGGCAACTGGGTGGCTCAATCCGTTAAGAATCTGACTTTGGCTCAGGTCATGATCTCATGGTTCATGGGTTCAAACTCCACATAAGGCTCTGTACTGATAGCTCAGAGCCTGGAGCCTGCTTGGGATTCTGTGCCTCCCCCCTCCCCTCTTAACTCCTCCCCTGCTTGTGCGCGCTCTCTCTCTCTCTCTCTCAAAAATAAATAAATAAACATTCAAAAAAAGAGAAAAGGTGGGTATGCTTTTTAAAAAATCCCTTTATTTAAACAACCTGAGAAATTCTGCTTCCTGCCAGGACTCTGACTGATTCAGTGAATTTCACTCCAAATGACCAGTTCCCATCTGATTGCTGGTTTTAATTTTGCTTTTGTCAATGGCATCACTGGCAAGGCTGCATTTGTCAGTAAAGACTACGTGCAGGGAGAAGCAGAAAAGAAATGGAAGAGAGTATCCTCCTGGTAGTGGAGTTCCTGGATCCCAGCTTCCCCGAGCTCAGATCCACTCTACTTTTTCCAGTTTGGGTCCATGAACTAATGAAATTGGCTTTTGCTTAGGCCAGTTTGAGTTTGTGTCTGTCACCTGCATCCAAAGAGCCCTGATATTTGGAGGCAGCACAAAGGGTCGGCAGTTTGCATGAGCAAAGGGATCCGAGGTTTTAGGGACACACGGTGAGCTCTTCCATTTGTTTGAAGAGTGTAACCCAGGGAGAGCTCTTCATTCCAGTCTCAGGTTTCTGTGGGTGTTTAAATGAAATATTGAAAAGCTTACTATCTTTCACTCTTCTCTGTCCAGTTCCTTGAAAGCAACCTTTGCTTGGTTGGACTTCAGAGTAGGTCTTCTATGCATCACTCATTGGTGAAAGGCAAACTGTAGAGAAACTGCAAGAAGGGAGAGTGCTATGCTCCAGGGATGGTGACAGTGGGCACCATACCCAACTCTGGGCTTGAAGGGGCAGGGAGAGGTGCAGTTATTAAACCTGGAGGCAAGGAGGGCATCGTGGCCATGTGACAGGAGCCTCGTTCCTATCTCTTTCTTGCCATTGCTCCCCCTGGCCAGACTCAGCAGATCCACCCAGCCTCACCTTCCTGGCTCAGAGCAAGTGGAGAGGAGAGAATGGATGTGGTGATATCCAGCACAGGGGCTCTGCTTAGTTCCTGGCCCTAAATGTGCATCACAACCAAGCACGCCAGATTCCAAATGGACTCAATGATCCAGACACCTTACCCTGGCATTTAAGAACTGTCTTTGAGGTTGATGGGGGGTGGGAGGGCGGGGAGGGTGGGTGATGGGTATTGAGGAGGGCACCTTTTGGGATGAGCACTGGGTGCTGTATGGAAACCAATTTGACAATAAATTTCATATATTGAAAAAAAAAAAAGAACAGTCTTTGAGAGGAGCTAAGTGTTATGGCAGAAAGCAAGGTTCTCAATCCCAATTGCATACTTAGACAAGTAGCCTAACCCATTTGAGCCTCATCTGTAAAAGGGAATATTAATGGAAGCTGCCTCATAGGTGTGTTCTAGGATTAACTGAGCTAATACCTTAAAATGCTTAGCACAGTGCTGGATACATCATGAGAGTTTCATCAAGGGTCACTTTTATCAGTATTGTTATAACCTTTGCACTTCATTCTGGAGAATCTCAAGATGGAGCAAATTTCCCCCAGAAAATATCTTGTAGAGAGGCTCTTCCTTGGCTTACAGTGGGGTCATGTCTGAATAAACCAATCAATAAGTTGAAAATATAAGTCGAAAATGCATGTAATATACCTAACTTATTGAACATTCCTAGCTTAGCCTAACCCATCTTAAATGTGCTCAGAGCACTTACATTAGCCCTACAGGTGGACAGAATCCTCCAACACGAAGGCTATTTTAGAATGAAGTGTGGATTATCTCATGCAATTTATTGAATGCTGTACTGAAGGTGACAAACGGCACGGTTTTATGGGTGCAGGATGGTTGTAAGTGTGTCACTGTTTACCCTCCCTGTTGGCACGGCGGGCTGGACGCTGTGGCTGCCACTGCATACCGCCAGAAACAGATCCAAATTCCAAACTCCAAGAACGGTTTCTCCTGATTGAGTGTTGCTTTCGCGCCTTCACAAAGTCAAAAAATTGTAAGTTGGACCATTGTAATTTGAGGACCATCTGTGCTAGCTTTGAAACTGGAGCATCTGAGTTCAAAGACTGCCACAATATGTTCCTCCTCACTGTGATCTTAATTTCTCTGAGCCTCAGTCTCCTTGCTATGAAATGGAGCACAAATCTCCACTTCATAGACTTAGACGGAGACCAAAGTAAATGAGATAAACGTACAAGAAATGTTTTCTAAAGTGCAGCGGCATTCTGCTAATGTCAGGAATTATAATTATTAACCCAGCAAAGAGTGTTCTGTGGCGAGCATTTTCCTGATGATTTTCTTTGCCGCTCTCTTGTTGACTCAGTGCGTGTCAACAGATGACTCCGTTTCAACCTACATGTCCCTTGCCCAGGCTAATTGCTAATTTAGACTTAAACTGTGCCCAACTCACGATTAGAATTCAAACCTTGGAACTCCATTAGGGATGCATAATGCTACATTTTCCTTTGCTGAAATTAATCAGCTGCAAATGATTAAATTACTATATATAGTGGGAAACACAACAAAGCTGTAATTTTTATATAAATTCCAGAATGTTACATTATTTCCCTTCAGCCCTGACATTGGAATAATTCTTCCACAATCATTGCTTTGTCTTCTGTAAAATAAAATTTAAAAAACCCATTGCTCTTCAAGCGTACCAAAGTCTGCTTTCAATATTTAATATGATTAATGTTTACTGTATTTGTTGTGGGGTTGTCTGCTAATTGTGGCGTTAAGCCACACCCCCTTTATCATCTTTGGGGGCTGAGGGATGTTGGTTCAGAACCACTGTTTGAGAAAGTATCAATTAAAATTCAGCTCCATTGAACACATGAATCTTTTTTGTTGTTTGTTTGTGGTGCCCGGCGTATCTGGTGGCAACCCTCTCCTTTTCTCCCCCTCTCTGAGCTGCAAGAACAGATTGAGATGCCAGGCTACTTCTCTGTAAGGATGTAGCCTGTGGTGAGGCCCCAGACTTGCCCAACAGGTAAGCGGGGGCCAGAGATATCTAGTTTGCAATCCCAACAGTATGCTCCTCTGGCAAAGCTCTCTGCCCCTGGAATGGGACAGGTCATCAAAGGAAGGCCTGGGCATGGGGGAGGTGAGCAAGTTGTCTCAGGGCCAAATTTAAGAAGGCAGACTGCCCATTTGTACACTCCTGAGAACCATTTCAAGCACCTTCAGATTTGTACCCCAGCCACCTCACTCTTCAGGATCTTGCCTCCTTATGTACCACACCCCACATGCCTCACTTGATCCCACTCTGATTAAGAGTACTTTGTTGAGGGCCAGAAAACCTGAACGACAATCCAGTGCATCCTGGCACCATCATGATAGACCTTGACTCCATCCCTTCACCTTCTTGGGTCTTTGCTTTCTCATCTAGAAAACAGGAGTAGTAATCTCCACTGGGAAGAGTTAGGTTTGAGACAGTGCTTTGTAAACTGCAGAATGCTCTCTAGATGTGGGGGTCATTGTCATCGAGTGGCGTGCATTTCTCTGGGTTGCCTTCCCACTGCAGCAGGCCCTCTGGTTCTCTCCTCATAGCCCCTCCAGCTTTTGCAGGGAAACTCCAAGGAAAGTCTTAACGAGGCTGATGAGGGAAGGTGTCTCCCAGTGCTGTTGCTGCCTACAGCTCCTTCCATGTAGTGGGGCTCCATTCTTCTGCTAGCTTGGGGGCCAAACTGCACCCACTCCACTCAGGCCACTTAGCAACTGTGGAATGATCTCTTCTCTTACCCCCTTCCATTCTTGCCAGTTCCAAAGGACAACTGCCTTGCTCTCCTACAGTCTGCCAGAGAATATGGAGACAAAGCATTCTTCCAGCTTCACTTTGTAGCCCTATCTTTCCCTGGAGCCCAGACACAAGACCACAGAGGCTGGCTTCAAAGTCTTCCTTCCCCATGCTCTCATGTTTCTTCCCCTCATGTCCCTCACCTTGGTGAAACTTGTCCCAGACATGTGATCAGTCCTTTCTGACCAAAGCTTGAGCTCCACACTAACACCTGGCCACACTGAGTATTGATCGGGAACAGTGTTTTGGGAGTGGCACAGAGCCTGGTGTGCTCCTCACTCCAAGAGCTCACAACCTCATGGGATATTCCCTCATGCCTCACCAAACCCACCTCAGAAGAGCCCTTGTGCATTAGTGGGCGGCTCTCCTTCCATTTGTACTGGGAATAAGCTCTCTCCTGGACTGTTGGCAGCTAGAAAGTGGGGCTCCTGAATATTTTACCCTCTACCAGTTACAAAAGATTAGGAACCAACCATGTGCCATTTTAACATTGTGTTGTCCTTCCAGAACTGGGGAGAGATTTCTGCTGAACATCATTTCACACATTTTTCACTGATCTCTTTTGCCAAAGAAGTCATATTTATAAATGGGCTGTCCAGTCTGGCTGGTGGACAAAGGAATGCTCAAGTGAGAATGAGATTGAACCCCATACTTTGACCCAGAACTGACACTGAGCCAGGGTGCACCAGCATGACCCTGCAGATTATTGACCTACTAGACTTCTTATGTACTAGTTGGTCAGGAGCCCCTGCCAAGTGCCCTTCTGCATTGTTGATGCCCAGCTCCTTCCCTGGGTTCCCCAAATTTCCCCAAAATCCAACATAAAGGGCCTGGCACCCAGGGGTTCTCTTGGACCCTGATCCAGCATTAAGACAGGGTTCTTTCCAGTTGGCTGGAGCTCCTGCTGTGCTGGTTGTTGATTATTTTGGCGGTCACCACACCCTCCTAGCTTACTGATCACACAGATGTCCCCAGATCATGGCTTTAAAAACCTGCCCCCCCCCAAAAAAGTGTTGGGATCTGCTTAAAAGCATACTAAATGTCTTTTAAAAATTACCTTGGTGACAGTAGGCCTTGTCACTGACCATAACTGCCCCTGGTGAAATTTCCCTTCAACTGACAAACTCAGTTAGGCAATCTCAAACTGCCCCTTTATCCTTGGCTTTTAGAAAGTAATAACGACACACTTGTACTGAGCTGCTCACAGATAGGCACTGCACTAAGTGTTCTACGTGAAGAATCTTGTTGAACCCTCTCTGTAATATTGTGACTTGTAGACATTATTATTATCATTTAACAGATGTGGAGACTAAGATTCAGAGAGTTTATGTAATCCAAAGTATCACAATAGGAAGTGTCAGGGTTGGGACTCAAGCCCAGGCTGAGTGACTCCAAAGCCCTTAGCCTTGAATCTGAACTGATATACCGTCTCATAAGTGTTATTTTCATCTTCCTGTTGTTATATGATCTCCACTATTCTTGTGCTCTGAGGAATGCCTGTGTGTGTGCATGTGTATGTGTGTGTTGGGGGTGTGGAGGTGGGGGTGGAAGAGGGCTGGAGCAGGAACGAACATCTGTAGGATGAAGTTACATATACACATATGGTTGTTGCCACATCCCTGTTGCCTGTCATTTCTGTGGATCCTTCTGATTGCCTAGGTTGTCTGAGATTGAAAGCTACTATATGTTAAGGGCTTTGATTCCTTTACTCAAAACCCAGATGAGTGCCACGTGCAAGTCAATCTTCTGTTAAGGAGTCCAGATTACAACGGGGGTGAAGAGGAATAAGCCAGTAAGTGAAAACTTCTGGAACCAGGCCAGGGGAGACTGCTGGCCTCTTTTTGCCAAGATGAGCTATGCTGTCCTTCTTCTCCCTGCCTTCCTCCCTTCCTTTTCTTCATGTCAACATGGAGAAAGGCATGGGAGGCTTCTTGAAGAGTTGTGAGAAATAGTAAGGGCCCAGAACATTTCTTATTTCCAGACTGTGTGTGTGTTTGCTGGCCTGGGTAGAATGGAGACCATTTTGGTGGACTCTGGAGGCTTTTTTTTTTTTTTTTTTTCACCCTGAATTCCCTTCAGAGTGGTTCTCTTAGGGGCAAACAGTTTAAGATTCAAAACGAAAGTGGAAAAGAAAGAGTGGAGATGATTCCTCTGAGATATGCTCCTCTTCCAGAGCAGGTGAAGGCTGTGCCCCAGCTGTGCCCATCCATTGCCTCAGATATGTCCAGGCCTGGAAAGACTCTGTCCTGTTTACTCCCTGGAGGCTGGTTAGCCTGGTTGCCTGCTTCCTGCCCTCCTACCCACACATCTGAGAGTGGCCAAAATGTCCATCATTTTTGTAGATGGGGTTTTCTGTGTACTGACTGGAGAACATTGTGGATACAGGATTACCTCCTCCCCCCCCCCCTTTTCACCTTTCAGCTCAAAATTTCACTTATCATTAGGGTTTGGATGAGCTGCAAATCCAATCCAATCCAGAAATGCCGACCTAAAAGTGTAACTTGAATTTTTCCCTAGGCCAAATTAGGGGGAGGATGTCAGTGGAGAGAAGGAGAGGAAAGGGGTCTCATTGCATTTCTAACACTGTTGTCTTTCCCATTGTAGGAAGAATGGAACCCTGGGCCATGGATCTGAGCATGGGCAGCCCCCCGGTCTGGGTTGTTTCTTCCAAGTGCCCCCGCCCTACTGGGGAACATGTCCTCTGCCTCAACAGAGGCTGTGTACAGGAACCTACCAAAGCCTGCAGACAGCAAAGCATCTGAGATTCTGTTGATCTGGAGTGAAACTTGGCCGGAGGCAGACATTGCCATTGCGCCACCTGCTGGAAGTTTGGGGAAAGAATCTGAAACTGTCAGTTTGGCTGTAGCTAGTTAACATCACACTCCTACTGATTATTTTTAATACTTCTTATTTTGTCTTATTACACAACTTAGAGGTTTGTTAAGACAATTTAGGAAGTTTATATAAGTAAAACAAAAACACAAAAATCACTCACAGTCTTGTCACCCAGAGATAAACATTTTTTTATGTTATGTTGTCTTTCTAGTCTTTTTTCTACTTAGATATGAGTAAATACATACACACTGTTAGTCTCATTCAACACACATTATTTTATACCCTGATTTTCAAGCTCAACAATGTCTTAAGCATCTTTACATATCATTAATTATAATCTGCAACATGACTTTTCCTAGCAGTTTTTTATATATCCCTGAACCAAGATTCTGGGGTATCATCCTATGTATTAAATGCAATGTTATCTATGCTTTGAGTTTTTTCTAAATCTAATTTTCCCCTCCTCTTTTCTCCCCTTCTTTCTTTTTCTCCTTCATTCCTTCTTTCCTTCCTTCCAGCCTTTCGTCTTTATTTATTTCTTTATTTTCCCTCTAGTAGAAAAGGTCTCAGCAGATGTTGTTTGGAGCAGTTCCTTGCAGTATCTCTCTCCCCCACCCCTCTGTATGAAGGGCTCCAGAGACTTCCCACTGAGCCCTGGATCTCTCCTCTAGGTGGTCTCTGCCTTGGAAGACAGGACACTGTATTCTGAATCGATATAGGCAAGACAGATGGGATCTCAATGTAGTGCTCCTCCAGTAAAAAACCCAAAAAGCTACAACTACTGATCACTTACTCTGTGCCAACCAAGCTCCATTCTACAAAACTTTCATGATTATCATGGGGAAGCATCCAAAACCCCTTTTGAGAGAGAGTACTTCTCCTTCCTTCTTTCTATTCACTGGATAGCTCAGGACACTGTACTTGAGAAAAGCAGATGAACTTGCCCAAGGTCATTAGCTCTTAGTCTGAAACCTCAGCATGCAGTGATCACCTATCAAAAGGAAACAAAATTAAACGAAAGGGATTTCCAGATTCTCTTTAAAGAATTGCACATCTGGCAACATGGGTTTGTGCTCCCCCCACAGCAAAAATCAGCTCAACAGAATATGCACACACTAGACCAGCCAGGAGTCTCCGGTTGTACCATCTCTGGCCTTCCTGTATTCTCCCCACCACAGAGGGGGGATGCCTTCTGTGAACCACACCATGCGGTGGTCTGGCCTCATCTGACAGAACAAGGGAACTTACAACGACCATGACAGGCTTGGGGCTTTAAGGCTGTCTGAGAACCAGGGTGTGTTTTGGCCCCCCAAATCGCTCACCTCTCCTATCTGTGGGTGTGGGGATGGAGTCTTAGGGTGCTAGACCAGGAAAGGAGGGACATAGAGATGGATCAGGCTGAAATGGTTGCCGTGGGTGCCATTACCAAAGCTACTGGAATAAATGTACACATGGGCAGATGGTAATGGTTGTGTTAGCTTGGTTGGTTGACTGAAGTCAAAAAAGAATATTGGCCTGAAATGAAGTTGCTAAAATATAGAACAGGAACTGGCAAACTTTTCCTCTAAAGGGACAGGCAAGTAAAACTTTTAGCCTTTGTGAATCACGCAGTCTCTGTTGCAATTTCTTAATTCTACTGTGGCAAGGCTAGAGGGGCTATGGGTGATATGTAAATGAATGGGTGTGATCGTGGTCCAATAAAACTTTATTTACAAAAACAGATGGTGGCTTTCTTTATGAAAGGGGTCCAGTTTGCTGACCCCAATATAAAAGAATAAATAGGGGCATCTGGGTGGCTGAGTCAGTTGGGCGTCTGACTCTTGATTTTAGCTCAAGTCGTGATCTCAGGGTCTTGGGATCAAACCCCATGTTGGGCTCCATGCTGAGCGTGGAGCCTGCTTAAGATTCTCTGTCTCTCTCACTCTTAAATATGGAGAACAAACAGAGGGTTACTGGAGGGGTTGTGAGAGGGAGGGATGGGCTAAATGGGTAAGGGGCATTAAGGAATCTACTTCTGAAATCATTGTTGCACTATATGCTAACTAACTTAGATGTAAGTTTTTTTTTATTAAAAAAAAAGATTCTCTCTCTCTCTCTCTCCCTCTGCCTTGCTTGTGCTCTCTCTCTAAAATAAAAAATAAATAAAAGAAAAAATATAAAGACCTATCTTTCTAAATAAGGGAGTTGGAGTGAATTTATCCTGTGAGAACTATGCACTGTTTAAACTGAGTTGATTCTATTTTCCAATTTTCCCCAACTGAACCTTCCATACATAGTTTCTCTAGTTTCAGTGATTTTGGAAAAGATCCCAAATAAAACCTCTCTCTGGAAATGATTTGAGACTGGGTATGGGCATGCAGATTTGGATTCTCTGACCCGAGTTATTTTCTAAGCTGTGTATTTATGTTTCCAGAAGACCAGAATCCTGGATGCAGAATTTCCACATGTTATCACATCACCAAGGCAAGGTTACCCCCAAAAGGGACTGTACCTGTTGGGTACCCCTGTCCTCCAAACACTTCCTTCAAGGAACTGGCTGAATAATATCATTTTAACACAGCAATTTCCAGGCCTTGAAAAGTGACTTGAGTCAGGTGAGGAGGAAATTTAAAAAATAGTAAGAAAAACCTAAGAAGTCTAGGTATCTTTCCTAAGTCTGGAGTCTCCAGATTCAGGGGTTAGGCTCAAAAAGAGAGAAAGAAAGAGAGAGAGAGAGAGAGAGAGAGAGAGAGAATGGGCTCAGAGCAGGCCAGAGAGTGAAAGACCATAGGAGGGGCTCCTGTATTTGTGTTTTACTCGAAGTATTTGGTGGCATATGTGCATAGGGAGGAAGGGGAAAAGGATATTTCTATGCTGTTAGTACAGATAGATAAATTCTGTGAGATTGGAAGGGAAGTACCTTGGAAATCCAGGAAATCTTAGGCTGCCTGGGTGGCCCAGTCGGTTAAGCTTCCAACTTTGGCTCAGGTCACGATCTCACGATTCATGGGTTCAAGCCCCACATGGGGCTCTGTGCTGACAGCTCGGAGCCTAGAGCCTGTTTTAGATTCGGTGTCTCTCTATTTCTGCTCCTCCCCCGCTTGTGCTCTCTCTTTCTCAGAAATGAATAAATATTAAAAAAGGAAAATTAAAAAAAAAATCCAGGAATTCCCTTCATTATAGGGAACTCTCCCTCCTGTGCTCACAGTAGACCCTGCCGGATGATTCTGGCGTTAATTTCTAGCAAGCACTGATGGGGTCCTGAGGGGTCTCATCTTTTTGTCAACACAGTTCTCCAGGAAGCTCCCTGCAGTCTGTCAGGGTCAGAACTTAATAGTAATGATAACAACAACAATAATTACAGCTAATAGTTATAGAGCATCTGTTGCATCTCAGGAGTTGGGCTAAGTGTGCTTTATGTGTTGTCTCGTCTAATCCTTGGAACTCTACAAAGTAGTTGCTATTATTTTCCTTATTTTGCTCAAGATGAATTCTGTTTTCCTACAGCCCATATTCAGCCCAAATGCCTCCTTTTACACAAGGGGACACAGAAATTTAAGATCCTGCCATAGCAAGTGGTGGAACTAATGAGGACTCAGACCTCTAAATCACCAGTCCATTGCCCCATGCTGCTGCCTTGTTGGATACATGATGTAGTAGCATAGAGATTAAGGGCTACAACACAGAAACTCAAAATGGTTTAAATAAAAGTGTTTTATTTATCTCCTGCCACATGGTCCTAAGGTGAGCATTTCAAGGTTGATATGGTATCTCTGTTCCATCAAATAATTCAGGGACCCAGCATCTTTCCATCTTTATGGTCCATGATTTCCTAGGGTGTTGTGCTAAGAGGACTGAGTTTGTTCAATTCCAGATCTGCCTTCCAGTCTAGGAGAAGACAAAGTCCAGGGCAAGGGTTTTTTCTTTAAGGAGATAAACCCAAAGTTGCACATAACACTTCTCACATTCCATAAACCAGTTAACATGTGACTTCCGGCCCAACACCCCTGCCAGCTGCGAGGCAAGCTGAGCAATAGAGCCTCTTGCTAGTAGGTCATGGGTCCACTAAAACTTACCAGTTTATTACTAAGAAGAAAAGTAGAACAGGAAGTGAGTAGCCCTGAATTGAAGCCTGTCTTTTGAACTTGATAGGATTCAGAATGTCAGAGCCTTTGCTCTGACTTTTTTCCCCACAATCTATTCTAGGCCAGAGTAGCCACTGGCCACGTGCAGCTATTAAACTTAAACTTAATTAAAGCTAAATAAAATGAAAATTTTAATTTCTCAGTCACAAAAGTCACAATTCAAGTGCTCAATAGCCATGAGTAGCTAGTGGCTACCACATTAAGCATTACAGATAAAGAACATTTCCATGCTGGAGAATTTATTTATTTATTGTATAGCACAGATTACAGATTGTGGACTCAAACCTAAAAGACATTGAAGCTTCCAGGCCTCTCTTTGTAAGGCAACTGGAATTTTATTTATCACAGAAAGTTGCAAAAGGAGATGGGAGCTGATGAGTGATGAAGCTCAAAGATTTCTCTCTGGATAATTTCCCGAGACTGGAGAAGTTGAGTCAAGCCTGAAACTATGAGATACAGTCAGGCCTATTTTTTAAGCTGCTGTTTCCTAGGTTCTACCCCTCCCCTTTCAGGATCAGTCACTGCTGTCACAGATGATTCTGCAGGATTCAGAGGGAAGGTGGGAACCTTGGTAGGAGTTTATGGGTGACCCATAATCCCAGTCTTCACAGAAGTAGGAGGTTAGTGTCTCTTGTAAACATTTGTTATTATTACCTGCCTGACATCAACCTGCCCTCCTTTTTGTAACAGCAGTCCTATATTCTCTTAGGGAACACGCTCCCCTCTTTGGTGCATGTGGGTATGTTGGACTCCAGGGCTGGGTATATGACCTAGGTCTGGCCAATCAGAGTCATGCTAATGGGCCCAAGGGTGGGCATGTGTCCCAAGCAAGATCAAGGAGAGTCAGCCTCAGATTTCTGCTGGAGCTATGGGGAAAAAGGCACTCTCCTTACACTAGAGCTGCTAAGCAGATAAATTCTGGACATTCTTACCACCACACAAGAAGACCCTGGGAGTAATGAGAACAATGGGGAAAACTAGAGCCAAGAAAGTAAGAGACAAGGTTTGAGCCTAAGAACCTAGCTTGTGCCTCAAGTTAGTCTACTCCTGGAGTTTATAATTTAATAAATTTCTGCATTTTTCTTTAAAACTATTTATGATGGGCTTCCCTTACTTGCAACCAAAAGAGTCCTCATGAATATGGGGACATTTCAAGACTCACTTTTCCTGCTCTTCTTCCATTGGTATAGCTGAACCATAGACCACAGCATTGGTTTTCGGGAGAAGAAGGAAATTCCTCTAAATACAGAAGGCCGGGCACCCTTATGCACGTCATCGACCTACTCTTCCCTCCCAGGCTTCCCCTGAGCACTCACACCTCCTTCCACAAACACCACCCTCAGGCTGTTCTTCTATGACTTCTTTTCTATTTAATATTTATTCTGACTTACTTCCATCTGGATACGAGAGTGTGTGTTCATGTGTGTGCACATGTGATGGTGTTTCTCAATCTTGAGTGTCCTTCAGAATCACCTAGAGGGCTTGGTAGATACAGTTTTCTAGGCCGTACTCCAGATTTTTTAATTCAGCAAGCCTGGGTGGAGCCCAAGAATTTGAATTTCTAACATGTTCCCAGTGATGCTGATGCTGCTGTAGAGGGACCATACATCATGGACTACTGGCATATGGAAAGGGGGTAAGTGGAGAAAAACACCTGCCATTTCTAGAATGTTTTATAATATGTAAAGACCTTTGATGCAATTTATTTTAATTGAGCCTCATGGTCATCATTTAAGATGGATAAGGCAACTACCATTGACATAACTATTATTCTGACAAGAAAACTGGGTGTCAGAGGAATTCAATGATTTACCAAGTTCACACAGCCAGTGCTTGCAAAAGCTGAGACCATAACTCACATATCCTGACCGCAGTATTTATTACATTGTAGCATTCCATCTTACATGAAAGTGGAATCCAATATTAAGGAATGGAGGAAGAGGGAGGGGAAGAAGAAACGGGGGATCAGGAGCAGGTGGGACAGAAAAAGAGAGAGAGAACCTGCAGGTGAAACCTGGGAACATGTGGCTTACTGCAGACCACCATGAGCTCAGCATTTGTCAGAGCTGGATTTGGTCCCATTACTGTCAATTTCTGGTCCTTGAACCTTAAGAACATTTTTTAATCTCTTTGATCTCCATTTAGAAAATGGAGATGACGGAGCCTATCTTGAAAGACTATTGTGATTATTTAACGACACCATGTGTATAAGTCTTTAGCACACTGGTAGACTCTGCATAAATGTTAGCCACTGCAATTTCACTTAATCCCCATAATCTTTCTGAGTTAGATGTTGTATCCGTGAAGGGTAGGCTGGGTCACAGTAGCAAATTAACTTTTTTAGGTGCCTTACAGAATAAAAGTTTATTTCTCTCTCACATGACAATATGAAATGAACGTTCTAAGTGGGTGGAAACTTTGCTGCACACAGTCATTCAGGGACTCAGGATGACGGCAGCCCCACCTTCTTTAATACTTGGTTTCTGAGATTACTCTTATCATTGCCATTCCAACCATCCAGCCAATGTGAAGGGGGAAAAGGGAGTAGATGAGGCATGGCCTGGTCTTATGTTGTCAGCCCATAGGCCCTCTCAAA